TTGAGCGTCTCAATGACCTTATATGCGACAAAACTTACTGCTTCTCACATTTATGGCTTCTTGCGTTCGAAAGCATTGTTGATTAATCGTCGCCGGTCGTAGATGCCGAGAGCGGTGTCAGAATATTTTGCCGTGTGAAAGCTGATTGCAAGTCTTTGTGCTGTTATTTATTTTTTTTCGTGTTCTTTTCTCTCACTTCCGTTTTGCCGGTGAACAAACGTCTGGAAAATGAGCGACCTCGCTCACCATGCCTGAAATCTATGTGCGGTGTACACATGAGCGGGGCACACATGAGCGTGCACCTATATGCTTTAGAGTGCCTTTCTTAACATTTTTTTCTCGCTTTGTATGTCCCATATTTTTACCGCGACCGTGTCAGCAGTGTTCATTGTTATGTTCGCTATATGTGGACTCAGTTTCGAAGGGTAGCATAGGGAAATCGTTAGTGCACCGAAACAGGGTCGTTTTAATCGATAAAATGTCATTCTGGGATCATTATGACAGGGTTGGACTTAAGTATCAAGTGCTGCATCTGTATTGGCGAGACGGGAAATTTTCAACAGCAGATAAAACAGTGTGTCAGGCATGGGCATATCCAGAATGGGGGTTAGAGAGTGCTTAGGTGGGAGGGGCGGGCTCAAAGCCCTTCGGAAATTTTCTATTTTGCTTGCGTATACAGTCGAGCCCACATATAACGGCCTCAGTTAAAATGAACTTTCGCTTAAAACGAACAATATCCGCGTGACCGTGAAAATGTACATTGGTTCGATGGCACAAAATCGCACTTACAACGAACGTCTTAGAGCGCTACTGATCGGTTACAGCGAACGGAGTCAGCGGTCTGCCGACTTTCCGGCAATTCACTTTTGACCACCGATCAGGCATCTGCCAGGTGCCCTTACATTCTTATTGTTAAACGCCGACCCTGCCTCCGTGACCCTCTAGTTGCCGCTCTCCCCGACCCATGGAGGAAGGAAAGCTGTCCTCCATGATGATGAGGATGATGATGTTAATAAGGCCATTCCCTTTGTAACGGGCGGGCACACTTTGGCACCCTAGCCGATAGTAAAAAATACAAAGAAAATAAGAAAAAAATAGAGACGGGGCGGGATGCCGAGATAAGAACCCTCCCGAAATCCCCGGAGAGTTAGTTTCCTCCATTTTTTAGGCGAGTCTTGCTGCGCCTCATTGCGGCGTAGTCCACCACATCACCTGTGTCCACAAAACCCAGTGCGGCAGCGAGATCTGTGTTCGAACTGGATGGGTTCAGTTGCGGGGCACTCAGTCACGATGTGTGCGATGGTCTCGTCAGCCCCGCCACACGCGCGACACACCACACTCACGAGTTCACCATCGTAGGCTTGCCTACGGACGAGAGTACGCAGGGCCCCTGCTCTCGCCTCAAACAACAGCACACTTCCAAGGCCATTGTCGTACAGTGGGACTGGAGCAATGGTGTCCTTGTGCTGGCGGTAGAGGAGGAGACTTGACTTATTTACTTGTGCCTGCCTCCACTTCTCCTCCTCGGCCTCCTTAATACGTTGGCAAATTCCCTTAGTGTGCCCCCGTTGGTTTTCGGCCGCCAGTGGTGCCTGGAAAACCCAAACTTTTTCTCAAGTTGGTACACTCGTCGTACCCACTTGGTGCGCATACATGTCGCCTTGAGGTAGTCAAAAACTCGTCGAGACCACCTCTCGCGGGCCATGTACATCAGGCGGCAGTGGAACGTCAGTTTGCTGGCCGCCTCACGCGCTTCGAAGCTCGACCAGCCGATGTCCCCCTGGACCGCCTCGTTCGCCACCATGCCATGACAGCCCAGAGCGATGCGTCCTACTTCCCGCTGTCGCCGCTCCAACCATTCCCAGGTGGCCGCTGACATAATCACGACTGCGTTCGCAAATGTCAGCCCAGGCACGCGGACGAGCTTCTAAAGATCACGTACCATTAAATACCGGTTGCAGCCCCACAAACAGCGGCCTCATGTAGTCTGTACACGTGTGTTGATGCTGACAATTTTACACCCAGGTACCTGTATTCGGTGCTGCTGCTCACTTCGGCATCTCCCAGGGTCACAACACTCTCCTTGGTGCACTCCCCCACAAGTCTGAGAAGGGCTGTCTTCTTAACGTTGAAGCAGAGCCCAAGGAGGGTGATTTCATCCTGGCAGATGTCCAGCAGTGCCTGCATTTTCTCGGTGCTTTCTGCCATGAGCACGATGTCGTCTGCGAACGTTAAGCCCGGTAGACGACGCCTCTCGTCGATACCGCCGGTCGTGTGGTGGAGCCGAAAACCAAGGCTGGAGCTAAGAAGCTTCCTCTCGAGGCTTGAGACGTAAAGAATATACAGTAATGGTGAAAGTGGGCAACCCTGACGCAGGCCTTTCACTACTACAACGGGGTCTGACTGAACATCCCCGAAGTGTAACACTACAGTGTTACCTCTGTACGTACGTCTCACAGTCGAGATGAGGATCTCTGGAAGGCCCAAGTGGTTCATGCAATCAAACAATGCTGCCTGCAGGACACTATCGTATGCTTTCTGTACATCCAGAAAACAGGATAGCAGAGATCACCCTTCAAGCTTCGCTATTTCGGCACACTGGGTCAGAGTGAAAATATTATCCTCCAATCTACGACCCGAACGAAACCCATTTTGTAGTTCCGTCAGCAAGTTCTTCGTCTCAGCCCTGCCACTTAGTCATTCCCTTAGGATACCGGCAAGCATTCGGTACATCACGCTAGTGACCGTGATAGGGCGATAGCTCTGCAGCAGGTCCGCCTCGCCGCCTTGCTTTAGGATCAATGTTATCCGACCCTGACGCCAGTCCTTCGGGATTTCAGCGCCATAAGGATGCTCGACAGCTGGTCTGCAAGCTTCTCCCTAGCCTGTGGGCGGAGGCACTTCAGCAGGCGCGCTGGCACCTCGTCGGGCCCCATCGCAGTTCGAGTGCTCATTCGCGCTAAGGCACGGATGACTGTCACACTGCTCACCGCCCAGCGCGGTTCCGCTTCCTCTTGCCTTTTGCCGAGGGCAGGGTGCAGTGTCGCGGCCGCGGAAGCATCCCTGTCGCCGTCATTTCCCGTCGAGCCAGTGCCTTCTCTATAACTTTCAGTGCCTGCCGGAAGGGGAGGAGAACAATAGGCGGCGGCCGTCAAAGCGAGTGCAGCTGCTCACCACCAGGCGCCGCCACGTAAACATGGGTCTCTCGTGTTGTCGGTCGCAGCTCGCGCGCTCGCGCATCACCTGCGCAGATGCGGTTGCTAGTCTCGTTTCTCGGATTCTGGTTGCCTGGGTGCTCATAATGACCGGTAAAGCCACAAAAAGGCCTCCTCGACTTGTAAGCTCTCGAACCCGCTTGCGACAGCGTCTCAATCAACAAGACAAGGACAAGACTTGGCAAAACCAGGGGTTGCTATAGCGTCCCACAACGAAACAAGTTTATTCCAAATATCTCGTGAAATCGCAGTGAACCAAAAAAGAAGTGCGTTTTTCGGCCTGGGGGGCACCCTACAGTTCCCCAGTAGTAATCGGACCACAAGAAAAAAAATAACGGTAACCTACTTTACAGCCTCACATATGTTGGCCTACAAATCGAACGTTTGGTGACAAAAGAACAGAGTATAAACTAGAGAAGAAACAGTATTTGTCACAATCCTACGCAAACTGGCTTAAGGCTAAAAGATTTGGTCACAAATAATTGAAATTGCACAAGAAAACAATATTTGCCCAGTCTTACTTACTGGCCTACGACAACAACAAAAAGTACACTTGGCGACGTGAGATCATAAAATGCCAAGGGAAGATTTTTTCGGTGTTATATAAGGTGGCCTAACACCAAAACATTAGGTTTTATTGTTAAGCCAGTTTGACATACTAGCCTACAAAAAAAATAAGAACAAAAAAACTTCATGACAAAAGATCACGAAATGCACAAGGTAACACTATTTTTTTCATAGTGTTGGAAGACTGAAGCATTTGGTGAAAAAAAATCTAACTGCACAAGAAAGCCAGTTTGACACACTGACCTATAAAAAAAGAACTTGGTGACAAAAGATTATAGATTGCACAAGGAAACGCCATTTTTCTTCTTACGTAAGTTGGTCTCACATTAAAGCATTTGGTGGCAAAAAATCAAATTGTACAAGGAAGCCAGTCTTACATAATGGCCTAAAAAGAAAAAACAACTTGGTGACAAGAGATCATAAATTGCACACGGAAACAATGTTCTCCCAGTCTTGCATACTGGCCTATGAAAAAAAAACTTGGTGATACAAGATCATAAATTGCGTTGGGAAAGCAAATTTTTTTTTTCACAGTGTTATATAAGTTCGTCGAACATTAAAACATTTGGCGACAAAAATAAAACCTTAAGGGAAACACACTGCCCAGTCATGGATACACTGGCTTGGAATTCAAATATTTGCTGACAAAAGAAAAATTATATATTGCTTGAGCAAACAACCTATCTCAAAGCCTTGCATACTTCCTCGAAAGTGGCTTCTTTGCAAAATATTTACAGGCATCTTGCTTGTCAGTCACACTCAATGCATAGTTTAAAATAAGTGGCCTGAGGTAGTGCACTGATATAAGGTTCATGAGTCGTGCCGTGTGGTCACAGCTTCCGTCACTCTGGCATTTGAGGAACCTCGATGCACATAGGGCTGGCACGGTACACTTTGTCAAGCTACTGAGTGGCTTTTGCAAAGTAGGATTGTCTCTAAGCGCACTGTCTGCAAATGCTCGCAAAGTGTCCAAAATAAAAAGAAGCTGGTCTGATGGATACAGCAAACCACCCCGGTCCTGGTTGCGTGTCAGCTGTAGGAGTGGCTGGTTGGTTACTGGCTTCGTACACAGAGAGACACAGTTTTCGCAGTTCATTTTTTCGCTGACTACACGGGCAATGTATCCCCCTACATACACAGTGGCCGATATTTGAAGACATGGGAGGTACTGAGGCAACACCGAGGTGGTTAGCCTTTGCAGCACCACAACTGCCTTCTTCAGTGAAGGCGGTGTCTGGACGTCTGTGTTCGCAGATGAGTTCTATGTTCGTCGGTGTTCACTGGCTGTTGTTCTACGGCTTTTTCTTTGATATAGGAGATATCTGCTACCATGGAATCTTGCTGTAGTTTCTCAAGCTCCAATTTGTACTTGTCAACTGTCCTTTGCAGTCTTGACACTTGGTTCCTGAGGTTCCTTTCTTTTCTTTTCCATTTGGCTTTCTCCGTGGCCAGCAAGCTCGCCACCGCTTGTCTACTGTCCAGCTGAACACCTTGGTCACATGCTGGAGGAGTCTCGGGCGGAAAGTTACTGCATTGGTTGGTATCGCTGAAAGCATCGGTGATATCTATGGGCTCTGGTTCCTCAAGTTCGTGGTTTTGTGGTGTCGGTACTGCAGGTGGCAACACCACAGATGCAGCGGCACTCGTCGCATGATCACTTTTCTGTTTCAAAGGAACACAAGCTCGCTTTACGATGCTTGCTCTGCTTCGCTCGGCGCTTGATTTTGGTTGCAAGTGCGCAGGGTAATCTTCAAAAACTGAAGGAACAACACCTTTTTTCAAAAACCGTCGTCGTTTTCCTTCCACAAAGTCCTCGGCGCGAAAATGACGGCTGCATACCTTCGTGTAGCAGGATGTTGAATTGGGCGACCAGTTGTCACATTGAATAACGGCCAGCCACTTTTCTCGTACGTTCGCGGCAGAAGGAATCTCGTGAAAAGACAGTCCCGGCGTTTTCTTTTCCTCGTCAGACTTACACAGCGGTACGCAGCAGTACGACATCTTAAGTCGCGCTACACGCGCGGCCGAAGCACAGGATTAAAAAAAAGAAAGAAACGTGAATCAATATACGACAGCATGCAACTTGAAGAACGCAACACCACGTGCAGTACAGCGAAGGGAGTACTGCCCACGACCTCCTCGGTGCCACCAAACCAGCGAGGCATGGATGGATGGATGGATGGATATGGCTGTACCCTTTAGATCGGGCGGTGGCTAGCGCCACCAAGCCGTAATACCTAATGAACTAAAATCTATATATTTTTTTTCTTAAAAAGTGAGTTTGAGGATTCGTACTTTGCAGTGAAGAGTTTAATTTTCACTCGTGCCTTGACTTTAGCCACCAATCAGATAACCTCCTTCTAGTTAAGTCTACCCGCTTAAAGTTTATTTTGCCCTCCCGGTCCCTAAACCCCAGTGCTTTGAAAAACTCTGCGCCATCATCCTGAACTATAGGGTGAAGCCCTTTACAGAACATTATCAAGTGTTCGGCAGTTTCTTCTTCCTCTCCACACGCACTGCATACTGTGTCTACCCCTTTGTATTTGGCCCGATATGTCTTGGTTCGCAGTACTCCCGTCCTGGCCTCAACCAGTAAAGAACTACCCCGAGTATTATCATAGATCCTTTCCTTGGCAATTTCCTGCTTAAAAGTTCGATATATCTCTAGTGCCGTCTTCTTAATCATGCCCATTCTCCACATGTCAGTCTCCGTTTCCTTCACTTTCTTCTTAACCGATAGTTCTTTTTGGTTTGGCCACCTGCTGTTTTCTAAGTATTTACCAGTCAACTTCCTCGTTCGCTTCCTCCAATTTGTATCGACATTCTTCATGTACAAGTAGCTGAAAACCTTCCTAGGCCAACGCTCTTCCCCTATTTCTCTCAATCGCTTCTCAAACTTTATCTTGCTGCTAGCTTCCCTGCCCTCAAATGATGTCCATCCCATATCACCTTGTACTCCCTGATTTGGTGTATTCCCGTGAGCTCCTAAAGCAAGCCTACCTATTCCACGTTGCTTAATTTCTAATCTTGCTTGAACTTCTGATCTCATGCACAAGACCGCATTGCCGAACGTCAGCCCAGGAACCATGACCCCTTTCCATATTCCCCTCACAACATCATACCTATTGTAATTCCACAGTGCCCTATTTTTCATGACTGCTGCATTCTTGTTACCTTTAGTCGTCACGTAAATTTCGTGTTCCCTCAGATACTCGGTCCCATTGCTTATCCATACGCCCAGATATTTGTATTTATCTGTAATCTCTAGCGTGACCTTCTGTATTCTAAGCTCACTACCTTCATTGTCATTAAAAATCATGACTGCTGATTTTTTCTTACTGAATCTGAAATCTAACCTATCTCCCTCATTACCGCAGATGGTCATCAATCTCTGCGAATCTTCCTTGTTGTTGGCCATTAGCACTATATCATCTGCGTACATTAATGCTGGTAGTGCCTGATCAATAAGTTTTCCTTGTTTGACTAAAGAGAGGTTGAAGCCCAGTCCACTTCCCTCTAATTTTGCCTCTAATCCTTGTAGGTACATCATGAATAATAAGGGTGACAGGGGGCACCCCTGCCTAAGCCCCCGTTTTACCTCTGCAGGCTTGGATACCTGTTTTTTCCACTTTATAACTACCTTGTTACCTTTATAGATACCCTTTAAAAGATTAGTGACTACATGTTCCACGCCTAGTGTGTCCAGTATTCCCCACAATTCCTCTTGAACCACGCTATCGTACGCTCCCTTGATATCCAAAAATGCTAGCCACAGGGGCCTGTGTTCCTTTTCTGCTATTTCGATGCACTGCGTCAGTGGGAACAGATTGTCTTCCAACCTCCTGTGTTTCCGAAACCCATTCTGCAGTTCCCCCAGCACCCCCTCATCCTCTATCCACGCCTGCAGTCTTTCCTTTATAATCTGCATCGCCAGCCTGTAGACCACTGATGTCACTGTTATAGGACGGTAGTTGTTTATGTCAGCTTTGTCCCCCTTTCTTTTATAGATCATGCTCATCCTGCTAAGTTTCCATCCATCGGGAACTTCACCATCGATTATTATTGTGCTCACTGCCTCTCTCAAAGCCTGCTTCGACTTCAGACCTAATGTCTTTATCAGCCTAATTGGAATGCCATCTGGGCCTGTTGATGTACTACTAGGAACCCTTTTCTCAGTCCTTTCCCACTCTTGTTGTGAAAATGGAGCCATTGCACCACTTGATTCGTCCTTGTCTATTGTGGTGCATAAAGTACTTCTTTGTTGAAATTTTTCTGTCACCCTTGTTTTTATATATTCAATAGCTTCGTCCCCTTCTAGCCTAGCACCTTGGGCTGTAGTTATAAAACTCTGATCTAGGATCGTCTCATTTGTTAGGGAGTTTAGATGGTTCCAAAATTTCGCAGCTCCTTTTCTATCTTTTTTATGTACTTCTGCCAGCCACTGAGCTCCCTTCCTTCTAATCTTTTCATTGATCAGAAGGGATGCATCCCTTCTACAGCTTAGAAAGGTTGCCCATTTTCTTTCAACATCATCTGTCGGTTCACCCCGCTGTTTAGCATGTCTGTGTTCCCTAGAGGCTTCCTGACGTTTCCCTGCCCTAGAGGCTTCCTGACGTTGAGGCAATCATGTTTACACAGCGCCACTACCCAATAGTGGCGAGCGGGGGAAACACTAGCGCCGACGGCCGTGAGAGGGTCTTCTTTCAGGCACTGAAAGTAATAGAGAAGGCATTGGTCGAGCCAAACAGTCCACTGATGTATCGTGTCAGGTGCTGCCGCACATGTGCCACTGGCTGGTTGGTGTCAGCATCCCTTAACTGGGGCGAATTCTGTTGTCGCCTGTCCAGTGTTTGCACATATTGCCAGAACTTCTGGACTGCGTTCTTGCCCTCTTCGCGCAGAGATTGAAATAGCTTCTTGTTGTACTCGGCAATTTTCGCCTGCGCCAATGCCTGTACCTCGTGCTTCAGTTCAAGATATCTCTGCCAGGTGGCTGCGCATTCCTCTGTGTCCGACGACCGCACCATCCTTTGATGCTCCTGTTTGCCTCTCGACGCCTTTTCTAGGCTCCCTCAACATCGCTATCCCACCACGGACTCTTTAACGCTCGTGTCGACCGTCTGTCTGGGACCATATGTCGTTCCACCACCCGTCGCAGGGCCACCATGTACTCGTCATAAGTGGTAGCCTCGTGCATTTCGCACAAGCCTCGAAGTCCTCAACGACAGCCTCGATGGAATGGTGTGGTAGGTACCGCTTGATCTTCTTTTGTCTGGAAATTATTTTTCCTTTATGACAGGAGTGTCCGAAGTCGAGCCTGAGGCAGTTATGGTCGCTGCCGGGACTGTACTTTCCCTCTTTGTCTACACCGCACCTCTGTAGCATTGCATGCAAACGCAGAAAGACCAGGGGATAATCAATATTGGTGGCGCTGCCGCGAGCACACCATGTGAACTGTCCCTCCCACTGTGGCTCGAGGTTCATGATGACGAGGTCTAAGTCTTCAGCCAACTGCACGAGGAGCTTCCCGTTGGCATCCAGGTGCCCGTTGAAGTCGCCAATAACGATGAGCTTGTTGTCTGTCTGCTGTCGTCATGCGTCCTTGCATAAACATCCAATACGCCTTACATTTCCTTCGTGTAGGCCTTGCACAGACAATTATGCAACACACACCGCAGTGTTCACACCAAGCACATTTCCTGTTACCCACATGTGGTCTCTGCATTTCCCATCCAAACATTGCCAATGGAGGTCGTGGCGCCATAAAACACCGACCCCTCCCCCTTTGCGACTCTGGCCAGATCTGTTCTGACCCTTCCAGTGTCAGTCTGGCTGAATTGGTGGCTCTTCCAGATCTCGCAAGTGGGTCTCTGCCACTGCATATAACGAGAACTCTTCGTCTCTCAGGGCATTATACAGCTCTCCCCACTTTTGTTCCCGGTGGGCACAGTGTATGTTAAGAAAACCCAATCGGAAGCATTGCCACTTCGCCCGGCGCCTATGGCACTTTGATCGACATGTCCGAATGTCCTCGGGACCACAGTGTCTCCCACACTCCCCACTGCGAAAGCTCTCCTGCTCATGTCCTGCTCGGCACGGAGGGCATGCCATTGGGGATGTTGTTGCCTCATGTAGTGCTGGACCATGTCGGCTATCATGCGAGCAAGGTCTAGTCCAATAGGTAGTGCGCCCATCAGTTGGGTTAGGTATGGAGGCCGTATGTTGCCCTGCCAGGGCGGGGACTGCTGGGGCTGGACAGCTTGTGGTATCACGTCGTTTGATCGCGTCTCCGGGAATAGTAGCCCCACAGGGGACACTTTGGCCCAGTGCTCTGTTTTCTGGGGGTCCGTCGGCTCCTGTGGGTGTTTGGTGGTGCCGGGTTGTGGATGCCGGAGAAGCACGGGGTGCTGCATCTGGGGCCGAGCTGGATTACCTTCGCTCCCCTGTCCGCAAACGTCTAAGGCAGTAGGTGTCAACCCGCCCGTACTCCCGTGGCCAGTGGTACCGGTGTCGTTTTCCTCTTTTCTCTTCGGGCCCCTTTTGTCGCGTCTCCGAGGACCTTCTCGATTCCCTAAAACATTGTTTGCAATCGTTGCCAATCGGGTCGCCACTTGGGAGGCTGTGTCTGCGACATAGAGAGCGCTGTCCCGGGCCAGCCATCCTTCTTCCAACTGCTTGCTGTTGTCCAAGAACGTTGCTCTCAGTATGGAACACATCTTTCTTAGCTGGACATTCAATGTAATAGCTCGAGCCAGTGTAACCTTCCCTCGGGTAGTCACCTCTGGAACAGAGCAAATCACCAGCCTCTCCGCGTACAGGGCCACGCTGTCACGTATCACTTGGACGACGTCTTCCGGGTGGGTCCCCCGAATTGCGTCTGTTGCTCCCACCAGCAGCACCACCAGCTGGCGACAACGGCCAGCTTCCCCTTGGGGTTCTCCTATGTACTGGTGTAGCAACTTCTGTGCACGTTTCACAGTCGCATGTTGCGTCCAGCATGT